TGCGACAAAAATAGATAATACAATAATGGATACCGATGAACACATATGTATATTCTTTTAAATAAAAGTAATATTACGTACTGGAGGATGCAGCTTGCTCGACTTGTACCACTTGGACATACGCCGCTGGGAATAATCCCGATTGACCACTCTGATTAAATCCCTCACACCAGCCATCTCCCACGTTGTCTCGTATGACAGTCAGAAGCTCACCGGCAATGATTGACAACTCCGCCGTTCCCGACTCGCCTGTGAAGTCGTACAGCGCTCTCACCTACAAAGAGAAAGAACAAAGAATCATCTCGCACGCTCGTAATGACAGAATGAGTCATAGCGAGAATGGATTGACCGAACTTAGGTTCTTTCACAAGGATTCTCCACGTACCTGCTGATTCTCCATCGTGCACGATTCGCGCGGCCAGACGCGATTCGCTGAGGGAATTCAAACTCCACCGAGAGGCTGCGCCCGGTCACATTCCCACTCCTCGCCTCCCGCCGTCACGAACCGTCTGACATTTGCGCGCTCGTACCTCGCTGTACCTCGCGGGTAGTAACCTCGTGAGTAACCAGCTGGAGTCGCTGAGAATGACCGTACTCCTGTGTACCCCGTAAAGAACAACAGTCCGTCCGCCTCTTATTGTTAATTGCACCTCCTACATTTCCCCTTCCCTTCGTCCGATCATTCCACAATTTTATCGCTTTCCGTTTCCTCCCGTCGAAGCGTAGATATGTCTGGATATATCTATGAATTCGTCGTACGTTTCTCAGCTACGTTCACCCGTCGTTTCCTCTCGTTCCTTCTCTTCCTTTCGAAGCGCGAGAGGCTGAATATATAAATATCTATTTCATTTCGAGCAGATGTCTCGCTTGAAAAAAAGTGCAGCAGAAGCTACACAACGATCGAGGGAAATGGATTAGACGGTATCACACGTTATCACGCGGTCGCATTCACTGTCAACAACATAAACGGGACAGATCGCACTCTAGAAACGGACTGCAGTGTTAAACATAACGACGACCAACGGCACGATCGGGCACGACGTGACGATCGATTATCGTTTCGACGATTTGCCGCGCACCAGAGGTTAGAGAAATCGAGAACCGGTACTCAGTGTTGCCAACGTGCTGATAAAAAAAATCCCAAAATCAATCTAGAAAAAATCTCTACGAGAACAAATTTCCAATTATTTTTCAGAAAATTAAAAAATCTCCAGTTTATCAATGGCTGCGTTCAGCAGAACGTTTGTTTTACAACTGTTGGAAGTTTCCTTCGTGCTGATTGGATCATACTTTTAGATCTAGAAGAATGGTCCTATCTCAGCAGACAATCATAAAACGGTTGCAAAACTGTTGAGTCTGCTGAACGCAGCCAATTTCATTGGGATGATTGGAAAATTGTCTATAAATAATAATAAAATTGTGACAAAAAATTTAGGCTGCTTTTCACTACGAGTAGTACGAGTATTGAAAATTATTATTCATGTCAAGTATACTATAGATTTTCAGTACTCGCAGTGAATAAAGGTGTCTTTTCATCTTTATATACAATTAGCATCAAATCCATTTATCGACACTACAATTTTATCAACAGTGTCGAAAATGTGATACGTAGTTTACATCAATTTATAAAATTGATGTTGGAGCCGCTAGTGTACGGTGGCTTTCGAGGCTGCTGGACTATGACTCCATCTGACTTTGGAGCAGTGATGCGAATTTCGGGCCGCTTGCAGCACGCGATCAGCGCCACCGGTCGGTGGTCTGGCGCAACCGATGGCAATACAAGCATGAGCCCATGTCCGTATGACTTGGTAGTTGGAAGCGTGCCGACTATACTCTGAACGAGTGCGAAAAGGTCAGAGTATAGTTGGCACGCTTCTAACTACCAAGTCACACGGACACGGGCTCGTGCTTGTGCCATCGGTTGCGCCAGGCTGCCGACCGGTGGCGCTGATCGCGTGCTGCAAGCGGCCCGGAATCGCATCACTGCTCTGACTCCATCTGACTCTGGAGTGATGGAGCTGCTGGAGGCCACGTGAAAAATGTCGGGATGGGAAGGATCGAGATAACCTTTCTCATGTTTCTCTGCTCTTGTTTTCGTGTGTAGAAAGCAAAATTATGGTACGATATTTTCTTAAGTTTTCGTACATTGGTACTCATTACAGGTATAACATATAATATTTATATTTTAATATACATGGGAGGTTCAAATCAAACCGGGGCTTTTCTCATGAACATAAGAATAAAAGTCCCGGTTTGACTTGAACCACCCACCTAAGTATACATGAACTTGATATGGGGTACATCTTTTATTTCTTTTTATCACGTGATTTAACATTTTGTAAAGGGGTTTGCAAAGGCAGAGTTCCGACAGCTTTATACGGGACACAGATTCTATCCAGGGTGCTTTAGAAACTGCTCTGCGAACCGTCATGCCAAAAAGCCTAATTGTTCCATCATTATGTCTCTCTAGCAGGTAGACTTTATATGTTTCATATTGCTTTTGTACTGTGTAATCAACTTGTTAATTAATACACTTAAGATCTTATTCTACCTATTGTCAAAAATATTATTTTATATTTGGTTTTATATAACTGATAATTATGCGCGCACACACACACACACACACACACACATAAAAATTTTAATTTGCATGTTTTTTGCTTTCTATGTTTGTTGAAAAGATTAAATTATACTCACCAATCTTTTTTATGATATAAAGTGTATATTTTTGTAGAACAGATGCTGGAGTTCATGCTTTAGGCAATACTGCTCATGTAGAGCTCGAAAACAAATATAATACAGTATATAATTCTTCAGACATAAAGAAATATGTAAATCGTTATTTTTCCAAATGTGGTCATATCATTAGGTAATTCTTAAAGATAGTCATCTTAGGCTTGATTGTGTACCAATGTTATTTTAACTTTAAGTGAGACTTAAAACTTTTCCTCTCTGTCTTTCTGTCGACTTTAAATAGAGAAAGAGAAAGTTTTAAGCTTTGCTTAAAGTCAAAGTAACATTGGTACAATCGAGCCTTAAATGTTAACACATTTATTGAAATAATACTTTTCACAGGTTACTGGAATGTATACCTGTCACAAAAGATTTTCATGTAAGATCTTCATGTAAATCTCGAACATATTTGTACAGATTTATGATACCTAAAATATGTGAAGAACAACGGGTATCCCTATCAGAAATGATACATACTTACCATATAAGGTAATTATATGAAGTAAAAATTAATGCATTTTGCCCTGGGGATTGATTCGTTATCTTGAAACGGACACAAATAACAATTTACTGGATGCATTGATCAATAAAATTATAAATATTCTAGTAAATTCGTTCATTTTTGTCATTTTTATCTTTCAAGATACCAAATCAATCCTTTCTTATGACATATCTTTCAGATCATACAACTTTGACATAGATAGAGTAAGACGTGGTACACAATTGTTTATGGGAACAAAAGACTTTACTACGTTTAGCACGAAAACAAGAACAGATCGCAAGATCCATTATGTGCGTGCTTTACACGCTTTTACTTTGGAAGAGGCACAGCCTTTAATGCCTTTTGATCCACTGTCCAAAAATTTTACATACTTTCATTTCACATGCAAGGCAAAAGGTTTCTTGTACAATCAGGTAATACTTTATTCGTAAATAAATACATTTGTATGTAAGAAAATTATAAGTACTACACTCTGTTCAGGTCAGACGAATGGTCGGTGCCCTAATTGCATTAGGATTAGGAAAAATAACAGAGAAAGATATCACTGTAATGTTACAAGTTCCTTCCCATCATAATTGGAATTCCCGTATTACGTCTGCACCACCGAATGGCTTACATCTATTGAATGTAGAATATGATCTAGATGAATTAAGACGTTGTACCATATTGCAAGAGGAAGAGCAAGAGGAGACGCCACAATCGGAGGAACTACAATGGGAAGAACAGAAACAAGGAGTGCAGTTGAAAAAATAGAGGACAAAAATATATGTTAAAAAAACTGTTAATTGCAAGAGTTGAAAAATATTATTGTAGATAATGACGTTAATACATGATCTTTTTTAACGAGTATTTGACATCATGATATCTAATGCTAGTGTTTGTATAATAAATACATAATAATTTTTGCATGATGGATTTACGAGATCTTATCGCGAAAAAAAGGTTGTCATTAAAATCGTGTAAAACAGTGATAACGGATCAGCTTGGTGACAGATATGAAATCGAACATGGTCAAGTGAAGAAATTAGAAAAAAGTCTGCCATTTGTGGTAGATGAAAAACCTGACTTACATGTAGCCAGTATAATACCAGGATTGTACCTCAGTTCTCAAGATCCAGCGGTTTGCAATGATATATTAAAACAGTATGAAATACGACATATTTTGAGTATAGGTGTCAACCTTTCCGAAAAATATGATGACATTCAGTATCATACCTGTAACTTGTTAGACTTGCCGGAATCAAATATATTGCCATCGATAAAAAAATGCGTCGATGTCATACATACGAATCGTAAAGAAAATATTCTTGTGCATTGTAACGCCGGAGTTTCTCGTTCTGCCAGTATTGTTATCGCTTATTTAATGATTATCATGAAATTATCATATGACGAAGCTTACAATATAGTGAAAAGAGCAAGAAGTTGTATCAGGCCTAATGATGGATTCGTGAAACAACTACGTAGTATTGAAAATACAACTTTTGTTTATAAATCATAATGTTTCAATATATGAATCTTTATGTATTTATTCTATATTGATGAATTATTTATCAGTATTTCTGACTAATTCTATATATATTTCATAATGTTCATAATAAAATAAAATAGTTTCTATTTTATTTAGGAACTATTTTATTTTATACATACATATATATTTGCAATTTTGTGAGTTATTTTATTTGGAACTTAATAGAAATTTTGAAAGGGCAGGAAAGAATGTATGCCGTAGGAAATGGATAAATAGATCAATGAATGTAGTATATTGTTACAATATAATCCATGTGTTATAACATTATTTACTTATGTGTACAGAGAATATTGTTTTATGTAATTACAATATATTTTATTATAACTCATTAGAAAATTATATTCATGCACAGCATCTATGAAATTCTTAGCCAAAACTAAGCATATTAAAATTTACTAATTCTGGCTTTTCCTTACATTTACCATGCATTGGAGATGACACATAGGTCGCCGTACCAAGTAGATTTATAAAAATTACTGTAAATCTAAAAAATATAAGTGAATTTCTGTATACATGATAATCCTATTATTTCATTCACATAATAGTAGTGTATCAATGTACCGACATTGGTACCTATTACCTCTTTCTTTCTCTTCTATTACATATTACATATTGTATAGAATAATTATTATCAATATCTATATATGTGTTTACATGTGATGTGTATATATACAGGCTGTCCTAAAATCACTAGATGATACTTTACGGATAGATAAAATATATTATTTAATATTTTATTTATTGAAAATATCGAAGCATCGATAGTTTCAAAATAGCGATCCATTAAAAATGTATTTTTTCGCAAATGAGATTCAAAAATACAAAATAGCTTGTAAAAGACTTAATTCGAAACTATTGACTATTACATTGAGAATTCGTGAGAGGAATCTCTAAGAGTATCTATCATCCAGTGATTTTCAGATATCCCGGATAAATACAATATATATGTATATGTATACACATATATTGTATTTTTTATTTATATATGTATAATCTATTATTCACATTCCTCCAACAATTGAAATGAGCTGTCTCGAAGAAAATAGACAAGGCACTTGAACTGAATATCCTTTTCTTAGCTAGTTGGCCTCATAAATAGTAGAATGCAAAGACTTGCACATCAAACGGTGTACAAAATGGTAAAGTAGAACAAATAAATAAAGCCGGCTATCGAAAGGAATTCGTGTATCGTTCACTATTCATAACATCATTCAACAGATTTAATTTGACCATTCTCTGCAGAGTGCCGATTTCACATATATTTTGGGCTGCGTTCCATTGCACGCATTAATGCGCTTGAGGTATCATTTTATACTTGTTCACAGTGTTAAACAAGGATAAATGATACATCATGGCATTATGCGGCGGAACGTAGCCTTAATGAATAAGCGACGCGGGATCAAGGCCTTCTAAATATCGTGTTTCTTGAACATACAACATTGATTTTTTATAATGATTAAAAATAGTATAATAATTCATTTTGATGTTACAGGTACAAGAAAATGATTTCTATATACTGAGAACAATGCAAATGTGAGAAATGGCATAAAACACATTTTCCTGTTTCTATACAGCATCAAAAATTTCATTTACGAAGATTATACTGGTTCCAACCTCTGATTACAAATCTTATTATTTGGACATCATTATTGATAAGTATGCATTCAATGCATCGACAGATCTCTCATTTGTATTAAAATCACGGAGACGTAAGTCGAGTTGGTAATAATTAATGTAATTAAAAATTGCGTAATCCCTCTAAGGAACAAACTTTTCCCTAGAAAGCCCCTACGTTTCCTCTTTTTTTGATTCATGAAAATTTTATAATATAAATTTCAACAATTGTGATGTAGTTTAGAAACCACTTCACTTAAGTGGCACAAAATAACGAGAAAATGTGATATATGTACAAAAAAGATATAAATAAATTAACAAATTATTATGCTAAGATCAACGTATGACTGTTAGTGATCCATACGTAGTACAAAGATTATCTGTGAAAATAATATAATACACGAATAAATCGGCCAGTTTCTGCGGGAAAAAACTAATACACAAAAATTTAATCGTAGAATACAAATTGTGTTCACGGACAATTTGCATTTCTGTAGAATAGAAAATACTGTAGAATAATTCTACTTCGGAATTTTTGAGGATTCAGTCTTCTTCCACAGAACGCTGACCCGATTATTTCCCACGAAGCCACAGTCTTAAGTACAACATATCTGTACCTGGAAAGCATATCATTAAAAATGAAAGCTATTAAATCGTACACGATGTACATGTATACGTCCGACTGGACCGAGTGACATGGCGACGAACTCAGGACAACATGCATTACAGTTACAGATACATAGGACATCGGTATTATGAATTGTAAATATAAACATCGTCGTCAAACGTTGTGTGTAGTAAACCAGTGTCAGAGTCCAATAGAATGGCCAGGTCGTATGCAGCAACAACGTCAGTAATGGAACAGGGAACCACCCAACACAAGTGCATATGCAAGTGTAAGATGTGTTTCATATGTGTATGTGTTATGTGTACGCTCATATGTGTTTTACATACCGTTTGTCAGAGGAAAGTTACCTTACATCTTGTTAGCTTATTAGGTTTCATCAATTGGTTTTTAGTGTGAATTTTTTTGGATTTATAGTTTAACGCTTAATTCCCCAAGGGCCGTCTGGAGTTACAACGGGTACATGAGAGTAACCAGCGAATTGCGGGAATTCTTCTACACTAGCTGTATTCGGTGCGCTTTGAGGCTGCTGTTGCTGTTCCCACGGTCCTCCTTTCACGATGAAACCGGTATCATTCTCACTGCCACCGATGTTGCTACCGTCATCGCGTTGAGGGGAACGTAAACTTTCACGATATTCGTTTTCTATCACATCTTGCATCTGCCATTGTAATTTTTTGTCAATTATAGTTATAATTATAATTTGAAAATTCTACTTACATTATAAATGGCTTTAAGCAAACGTTACTTACGTATTCCTCCTCTAGATTCAGCAAACGTTCCCTCGCTTCGGCTACTTTGTCTTCCGCTCCCACGATCGTTACGATATTGGGGTCAGCATCGGTTTTTCTCGGAAACTTTATATCAACTTTAAATTCCTCCATTATTTTACGGATATTTCTACCTTTTGCACCGATCAAACGCGAATGAACTGCAGCGTGTATCTGCACTTCCTCTTTTGTTAAACCATTCTAAAACGTGAATAAGAGAAAATAATAAATTGTATTAAATAAAACCCTTAAGTATAAAGTATTTCTGCGATTATTCTGTTGAATCATTTTGGAAAACAAAGAAGTATATAAACTATAATTTAACTTATTTCAATATAGAGATGGATATTTTTATAGAAGTATATTTGTATAAAAACTGACTTACCAATTCATTGACAATCTTCATAATATCATCTCGTGCACTGAATGCATTCTTCTCATATCCCATTATTGTAATAATATGTTCCTCGGAATCACCCTTGCGCGGGAAGATAATTTGAACGTCGTGATCACTACGTATTTTACTGATCACCGCTCCTTTTCGCCCAATAATTTTTGGATGATATTCCGGATCAACTTCAAGCTAATTAAATAAATGTGAATTATGTACTTCATATACATATTAATGAGATAACATTTGATGTGTTATTATTTATATAATATTATTTATTATTTTTCTTTAAAAAATATTCGACGTCTTTTTTCAAAATATATTAAATTTTCAATTATCGGAAAATCAATCATGAATTAATAATGAAATTACCTTTAATTCAAACGATTTTAATGCTCGATCTTCTCGTTCGGCCTTCAAAGCCTCGCATTTTTCAAGGATAGCTTCCTTGGCACTTTGAACGCAGGATGGTGTCCCAGAAATCTAAAAAATAAGTAAAAGATAAGTATATGAGATAAATACTTATATTAATTCCAATATCAATGTATAACAAAATTACTTTGATGTAATCCAACTTTTCCTCCGCTGGAGAAAGCATGATGTGTACGTCATATGTATTCATTAATTCACGCACATCTTTACCTTTCTGGCCAATTATCGAACGATGGAAATCAAATGGAACATCAACCTAAATGCAAAGGGAAAAATCTTGGTTAAGGCTAGTTCTATAATTATGAGAGCACATCAGTAAAAGAATATTATAATTTTAAATTAAGAAGCGCCATAACGGTCAGAACGTTAAGATGTTGAACTATTGTAAATTCATTTAAATGAATTAATTTCAGAAATGATAATTGCGTGCCGATATGGTTGTCGGACTTTCAACGCAAATTCAACGCATTTGCGTTGAAAGTCCGACAACCATATCGGCACGCAATTATCATTTCTGAAATTAATTCATTTAAATGAATTTACAATAGTTCAACATCTTAACGTTCTGACCGTTATGGCGCTTCTTAATTTAAAATTATTATGTTTAACATTAGCGGTCTTTCAATCTTATTATTGTTAAAAGAATATTAACTAACTTGAATCGTGATAGGGACGAGATCAAGTAAAGCTTGCTTAGCGGCAGCAACGTTTTCAGGTTGACCGGTAATACGAATTATATCGCAAGCTGGAATAATTTCCACACCTTCTCCATTTTCACCGTTAATTTGTTCTGGCGCTTTTTGCTCATCTAGAATAATATGCAAAATCAAAGTTTTTACTGATTCAATAAAATTAACAATTCGTGGTGAATATATTTGCATAAGAGACAATGAAAACATTGTACTAACCGTATATGTCGCGATCGGGGAATTTAATTTGCACATCATATTCAGATGTTATATTTTGCACTTTGCGACCCTTTGCACCCATTACTGTACGATGATGTCTTTGCGGTATTATGCATTCCACTGTTACCATAGATTCCTAAATTGAAAAAAAAAATAGTAAGCATATATCCTTGATGATACATTCGGTGTTCGTTCTACAAACTTACTAATTCCTGAACGATTTCTCGCATTCGTTGTTTCGCCGCTTCAATACACTCATGCGAGCCTTTCAAACTAACACGATCGCTATCGACACCTGCCCGAGGGAATGAAATCTGCACACCACCGCATTCGTCAGCAATTCGGTGCAGTACACCGCCTCTTCGTGCTACAAAATGTCTGTGATGCTTAGGATCGATACGAATTTCGCCCTCGATAATATTGTCCTGCAAATATGTTAAAAAAGATTTCAGAGATATAATGTATATTTATATGGATTACTCGAAAATAACGATCCTCATACAATCTCTTTAATCGTAGCTTCTAAATCGGCTTTAGCCTTCTCAACCGATTCTTTCTTTCCCATAATTGTAATCACTTCCTTATCTTGATCTTCCTCCGTCGGGAACATAATTCGTGCACCTGTGGATTCTCTTATCTATAACAAAAAAAATTTATGTAAAAATTTACTTCCCAAATAGAATCTGGAAATACAATACGTTGCATTCGTGCACTCTACCTTTTTGATGTTGGCACCATTCTTTCCAATAAGGAATTTATGATGTTGAACTTTGGCACGTACTTCAGCCGAGAAACTAGATAATTGCTTTTCATTACTTAGTTCTAAGAGCTGTGCTTTTGCCTTCTCCACATCGTCTTTTGGGCCTCTGATGCAGACCTATATGTACATGTATGAGTATATATTTATCCGTAACAATTTCAATTTGACAAAAAAATGATCTTTTTTTTTCTCTTTTACCTTATCACTTCTACTTTCTGCCGTAGGGAATTTGATCGTGACACCTCCGCAATCTTCCATAATAGAATGTATCAATTTACCTCCGGTACCAATAAGAGAATTGTAAAACTTTGGTGGAATAGTGATCTCTTCGGTAACGATATTAGCCTAGTGCGATAAATATTTTATGTATTAGCAGAAATCTCTTGATTTACACTTATTGTATATAAAACATTAACAAATTACCAATTCATTTTGAATCTTTTGTATCATTTCTTTCGCTTTTTCCACATTTTCCTTCTTTCCGGTAATAGTTATAACATCACTCTTCTCGCCTTCTGCAGGCAAATCGATTTTTGTTTGCGTTTCTTCTCTAATCTGTATCACACATAATTCATAATAAATAAAATTAAAGTTATAATAAATGCAACTAGTGAAAAGAGTAAGTAAAAACCTGATACAAACCTTACGGATGTTAACACCGCCTTTTCCAATAACAAACTTATGAAACTGTTTAAAAATAGGTACTTCCAATACATGATTGCTTTCGTTAAGTTCTTTCACCAACTTCATTAGATGTTTATGGCACTTATCTACGTCTTCTTTAGGTCCTCTAATTTTCACTATATCTCCTTTTTCACCTGAAAAAAATTGATCAGCTCATAAAAATTGTAAGCAATGTTGGAACGATACAAATGCTTTAGTGTGATATTCTAAATTAATGCAGTATGAAATTATATATATATATATATAAATTGTTTACCTGGTCCAGGTATAATAATTTGTACTTGATTAAATTTATCTCTAATTTCTTTGATATTATCTCCTTTATTACCAATTATGTTACGATAATATCTGTGATCTATAATCACATCCTTTTCTTTCTCATTTTCTAGCTTTTTAACCATTTCTACAAGTTCCTATATTATTTATAAAATAAAAACATTAATATTTTTTTCACTGATTTAACGATACTTGATACTAATTAAAAATATAATACGTACCGTTTGAGCTTTTGATACCCCAGCGTGATTACCTTCAATACGGATAACGTTACTGCCATCATTTTCAGAAATACTAATCACTACACCCGTTCCTTCCTTAACACGATTCACTTTAATAAAAACAGAATAAATTTAATACAATTTAAATAAACTCAAAACATTCTTCTTTGCATTATAAGATGGAAATAATTGTAGTTATTAAAAATTGCAAATGATATTAAATACTCACCATTACAACCATTTTTCCCAATGATATGCTTATAGAATCTTGGGTCAACATTTAATTCTGTGAAAGTAAGCTTTGATATAAGATCATTGGCCATAAGCTGTAACTCGTTTTGTGCTTTTTCTACTTCCTCAGGGGGGCCTTCTATCTTGATTTTATCTTCTTTTCCAGTAAATTCTACGTTTACTTTTGGCATTTCTTGAGTAATTTTTTTGATATTTACACCTTTGCGTCCAATGATGTACTTATGTATCCATACCGGAGCTTCCACCACAGCAGTGCGGACACTATTTGCCTTTTCGTATACCTTGTTAAGCGCTATATAAATGAGAATATAAATAAATGTGTAATAATTAATATGTTATCTAAAGATATAGTATTTAAAAATTGTAATTTTAAATTGCTTACCCTGACCGAGTTTCTCTTGGGGTCCTCTAAGAGTTATGGTACCAGTTGCTGAGTCAGGTGCAGGCATTTCTACGCTCACTCCAGTTGTTTGTAATATTTCTGCTATAGTGCTACCACGAGGCCCAATTACATACTTATGCTGAGATTTGGGAACTTCTACAGATACTGTAGTACATCTTTTTGCCTGAATTAAAAATTTACATATTACATATATGTGTTAATAAAATTATATAAAAATTTTATTAACTTACCATATCCTTATAGATACTATCGATCTTTTGTTTTGCAGCCAAGACTCCTTCCTTCTCACCAGCGATGGTTATTTCATCCTGCTGTACTGATGCAGGAGGAATATTAATGCGAGCACCAGTTTCTCCCATCATAGCATTGAGATTTTCATTATGTGCACCATATATAAATGGATGATATATTTTTGGCACAGTTATCCTTTCAAAAGCCTTCCTAGACTGTAATATTTAGGACAAGATTTATTGTATATGCACTTTATCTTGCAACAAGTGGAATTATAGAGAGAATGTACATATCTGTGTACAGTAATTTATTATTTTAAAAATTAACCTGTTCATCAGAAATAACTCTAATTTCATGTTCAGCCTTTTCAATGCCTTCCTTTGTTCCTGTAATTGTTATTATATCTGACTGATCTTGGACACCAGGCACATTAATTTTTGTAGCAGTTTTCTGCTCTAGATCTTTTAGCCTCTGTCCTTGTTTACCAAGAATCCAACGATGATGATCCTTAGGAATACTAATCTGCTTACTTGCCTACAAAAAATTAATAGAAATACAGAATAATTTATGTATATTTATGGAAAAGATTGCAAGAATGTAATAAAAAATAAATAAATTAAAATATTGAAATCATTCTATTTCATAATACATATAAAGTATATATTTGTAAAGTAATAAGTTGTGGATTCTTGTATATCTCTTAATAGAGGATTACCTGAGTTTGAAACGTTGTTAGAATACGTCGTTTGGCTTCTAAAACCTGATTTTGCTTTCCAGTTATAAGAAACGTTAGAGACTGATCCTTAGACGATGCAATTTCGATAATAGTGCTTGTCTCTTTCATAATAGTTTTACATGTACGAATAGATTCACGTTCGCCAAATTTATCACTATGATCAAACTTGCGTTCTTCCCCTGGTACACGGAACATCTACATGAAAGTAGAAAAAAAAATGTAAAGGAATAAGTACTTTTTCATATAGCAAAATGCAATTTTAATTTTTTTGTGATAAAACTACAAATTCACGTGCATAACTTTAATTACTCAATAAATGTACTTGTTACAATACACTGGTAAAAACGGTATAAATAAATTCTAAAGTTAAAGCGATAGAAAAAGTACTAAAATATCACGTTCGACTATGTTGTGAGTTAGTCTCATAATGTATTCAAACACATGATATGTTGGCATCTTTTTCATCACTTTAATTTTAGATTTACTCAATTTTTTTTACAAAATGTAGGTTAATCCATCGTTGCAGCAAGTCTTTCATTAAAAAAAAAAAAAATGTATAATCTGTACATTAAACAAGTCTTGTAAGAAATAAATTCTTATAAACCTTTACCTGTGTAATAGTAATACGACCAAGTTGTAAGTTGTTACTTATGGAAAATATGTTTAACGGTCCAGAATTGGAGCTAGATGATTCGGGGAGGACAGGGAATGTCTCGTCGTAAGTAGGTGGCTCGTAAGCCGTTCCCTCTTCCATTACTGTTTGCTGCTGCATTTTTCGGATGTCCTGTTTCGTGCCAAGTCCTTACAGTAGCACTATAATATAAATTAGAAATATTCTACCTTTCTGATAATCGTTTTGTAAATATATAATAACGTACATATAAAATATAAATAAATATAGTTATTATTCTTAATTATTAATATAAATAATTCATATAATATCAATAATAATACAAATATTAATAAATTAAAAAATGTAGCAAAATTTATATTTACATATATACATATATATTTATATTTTAATACATACATGCTTCATATATCCATACAATACACACATACATTTTTTATTGCAAAAGTAAATAAAAAAAATATAGGGAGCACCTTGACAATACATGTTGATTTATACATACAAATGCGCACGCATTTACATAAAAATTTCATTTTACTTAAATTCCAGATTATACTACTTATTACACGGCGATACTTTATTAAACCTTAATTTTGCGACGAAAAAGATAAATTATCTGCTGGGACGTCGATAGTTGATACCGACGATAAATTTTCTCCTGGATGACCCGAGTTGAATAATCGCGAGGGGATGCACCCGGGCATTTTCACAAAGGCCGATCGAATCGCGATAGAATTTCGCAACAGTATATTTTTTTTTCTCGCATTCGGCATAAATTCTTTCAAGGCGACCCGAATTTTGCGGAAACGATAGATATCGCGCATGATTCGTGCCACGCGAGGCGTGCGTAGCCAAAAGGACGATATCTTTTCCAAAGTCGAAAACAGAATTTTGTAACCCGTAGAAGCATCGTAGCCGGGAATCGACAAACAGATGTACGCCAAGTGCACGTCAATGACCAATGGCTGAGACCACCATATGGAATGGAGCGTTAACTTGACACGTCACGAGATCGCTAACCTCTCGCGTCGGGGCCAACATCTGCACGTTGTGGCGAGAAGGACCGATCGCGGGAGAAAATGCGAGTCGGAGGGAAATGACGGGACGAAATGAAAACCAAGAATGGTGCCGAGAACGAGGAACGGCCAAGAGGCATCGGAAAAGGTCGCAAAGTTCGCTTCTCCGCACACAACATGGACAGCAGAGTCTTCACAAGTTGCTACTTACTCTACCGTAATAAAGAAATCCGGCCAAGTAATAAATGCGTATTACGTAGCCAGTTTAACGGTGATTTGCCTGAAACAGTACAACGTCGGTTACGAGGAGCGAGCGGCGCACTTCGGGCCACGAGATCTAATTAAATTAACGTGGAGCGAAATTATCGCCCCATTACCGCGAGACACACAACTCTCCTTACCGGTAACGCAAAGTGAAATGAGACGGATCACGGAGGACCGTCGGACGGACGACCGGGACGACCGAAAGTCACCACCACGATCCTGAAGGATATGATAGGCTTGCGGAGCTGCGTCACGATGAGATACCAATGTCGCGGTCGCAAATTACCACCTAGTGTCCCTGGAAGGTAGAGTCTGGCCACATACCCCTCAAAATGGCGTCAGTAAGTGGTGAGGATCACGTCTTTTGCTGGATTCACACTGCATCCGATTATCGTCGT